CAATACACAAACACAAACACAAACACAGTTGGCAAACTATTACCATATGAGAAATATACTTCTTTTTACGACTTATAACTTTGAGAATTAAAAATACAGCTACGGTCAGACATTCATTTGTGTGATTTTCTGAACCAACATCGAGAGTATTTTTTCTATTTTTACGATAAGTCTCTTGGCGGTGAGAGATTGTAACACCAGTCTGTTTACACAGAGATAAACTCATGTCCTGTTTGTTCACAACAGTCAAAATCACTCAAGTCATTTTGTACACACACACACACACACATATTTCAGAGTCAAAGATCTCCCATGAGTGGCGTTCAGTTCATTTGAGTATTTTAACAAAAAGTCACTCCTTGTGAAAGTATTTTGTTTAAATACTGAGCAAAACCACAGGAAATATTTTGACCAGTATTGCTGGTTTTCTGAGTAAATTCACACTATTGTTGTAGATTCTTTCTCTTCACCAGGAAGTCTCTGGTATTTATAAATATTTGAGTTGCTGATTAGATCCCATTTCCATGATGAACACTATATAGCTTTGGCATCTCCCTTACATATTTAAAACTGACAGGAAGAGAAAGAACTACATCAAAGCACTTTATTTTTCTCATCATGGGTACTCCCATGCAAAAAGGTCTAAGGTGGAGATTTTAACTTAACTTAACTTAACATTCATTTGTGTTCAGTCTCACTCACTCTTATCTTTGTCTTTATTTTTCTTTCCCTCTGCCTTTTCCTCATATCCTGGCACCTCCTTTCCACCCAACCATTATTGTTGTCATGGGTAACTTAAGGTTATCTAAGCAGCAATGTGTAATGCTTTCTCCAGGTTTCATTCTGTGCACGCCTCGAGAGACACATATATGCAAAGGCATAGAGTTCCTGCATCCCCTTGAGGTGAGAAAAAAAAAAAAAAAAGTGTTGCTATTGGTATGATCCAGTGAGCACTGCAATTGTTCAGTAACAATTAAAAATAATAATAAAGAATCAATCGAATTGAATTCAGACCCATAGTCCTCGGATAAAAAAGGATGTAAGTTTGAAGAAGAAAAAAATAGTTTAAACAATCTCAAAGTGGACGAATAAACTGCAGAGTTGCCACAAATCTAGTATCTCAAGCAATTTTCATTTAGTATCTGACATGAATTTATATTTAATTATATTCTTAAGCCTCCTACTGTATATCTATATAGGACAAGTATCAATTATTTTAATTGAAGATTCGTTTATTGAAATGATTTTTGTTTGTTTGCAAAAAAAAAAAA